CACATTGTCTGAGACTGTAAGTCTCAACAATTGCTGGATGGTATTTATAGGTGAGAAGGTGGTTAACGGGGTGTAGCTTAGGATTGCAGGATGAGTTTTACATGTGCAGGTTGGAGCCTTGGAGGACTCCGCTGCATGTTCAATAACACTGTCATGTCTATATATTCATTAATTAACTAATTGAGTGTTTGGTTCAAAGAATCAGTTCATTCTAGATAAGATGAGATGACGCATCATGGGTTAATTTTTTAAATTTGATGACCACATCCTATAAGAATTGCCAGCATTGACTGTACATAAGAATTTGAGAAAACTAAAATTTGGACCTTCGTATGTACTCGCAAGTACACAGGCGTCAGTTTCTAGTGGACTGAAGGAGTGTTTCAAATGCAAGGGGGTTATGTTGTCAAAAAAAATTGCAAGGGGGTTCTTGCCTAACCGTACCATCTTTCCATGTTCCTGTCCTTTTCTTCTTTCGAATCGTGAGAATAGAATAGAGCAAAAGGTAAAAAAAACTATACAATTTCAAAACACAATAATAGAAACTTTGGGGTGTTTAAATAGTAGGAAAATATGAATGTAACATGTGGCCAAGCAGCAAAGTTTCAGGCTTTAGAACTTGAAGAAAACATTGCAGGAATTTTTCATTTGGGTCTCCTTGGATGTTCTTTTTTCTTGTATTTTATGAAGCAAGGTTAGCCTTTTCTCTAGAAAAAAATACAGATTTCCTTTAAACACAACAAGTAAAGAAAACATTCCTAAAAAAATCTATTCCTTTACTTTTCCTTTGGAAACCCTCAATTCCAGATAAGGCCTTAATTGTGGTCAGGTCTAGTGGACTGAACGAGTGTTTCTTGAAGGCATACGAAGAAGACTCTTGCCTAACCAACCATATATTTGGAATAAAGGCTGTGGAGTCAAGTCAAGTCGTTGGCTTTTCAGCTTTTCTCCTTGTAAGGGCGTCCCAACAAGGGCCTGGTTTAGATTGTAAGTTTTTTTACTCTCTCTATCACATCAAATCTTTGGACACATGCATGGAGTATTAACTATAGATAAAAAAAATAACTAATTACACAGTTTAATTGTAAATTACGTGACGAATCTTTTAAGCCTAGTTAAGCCATGATTGGATAATAATTATCAAATACAAACGAAAGTGCTACAGTGTTCTAACCTCAATCTCAACAAGGCCAAAGAGATTTGGACGTGATTTGAGTGCCAGAAGGAGAGAGGGGGCTGAAAAATGAATAGCTAGTGATTGTTCGGCGCTAGTCTCGCACAGTTTTCGAAGAATCTGCTCTCTGTTGTCTGGGGCCATTTAGCTTTCTGCCCAGTGCGTTCAGAGTTTTTGTTTTTCTATTCTTCCTCGGTGCTGCGTCAGCCATCGAAATCGCCAGTTCCGCTGGGACACGGCAGAAGCAGAAGGTCAATTCACAAGTTGCCTGTACGTGGGAATCGGGGAAGGATTAGGGTCTGTTTAGATTCCAAAGGATCACATCGAATTTTGGCGAGAGCTTAAAAGGGAAAAAACTAATTGCAATTGTGGTCCTTTTGAACCTAATTACATAGACAAGGAATACAAACGAAAGCTACTGATGAAACCAAAATCTAAAAAATTTTAGATCTAAACGGGGCCTTATTTGGCAAGGCAAGGCAATTGGGTCCGTACAAGACAAGGAATAGGTCATAGGCCGTGGGCCCGTGACCGTGGAAGAAGAATCTTGGACGAAGATAAAGTTTGGCGAATGACGGCAACATGACGCCTCCGTCATGCAACAAGAACATCTCGTTCAACGCACTAATTTAGAACTGGTTAAAGAACAAATATGAAGAAAAATGCCTGTGTACATGCAAGGACCACAATAATAGTATCTGAACCCTTTCGGAACGTACCAATTTCGGGAAATATATTCCATTTTCATCTCTAATCAGTTGAAATATGATATAAATTATTATAGTTATAAATAATTTAGTAGAGGAAACAAAAACACATATATTCATAAATAAATATCATTTTTTGACCAATAAATAGCCATGTTCACTGATAGATAATAAATGAAGTCCATCGTTTGAATACAAATAATATTATCCATCACGGCAGTCCCAATGCTAAAAACCACAGCTAGTTTCTATGTCTATTTAATTTGTGTAGACACTACATGTAGAAACTATGTTTCTAATAGATAGTTTCTATACAATGATCTTGTGTCCAATCACATGTCTTCTCTCATTCATTGACCTATCACATCTCTTCATGTCTTAGTTCCCATGTAGACATGGTTTCTTATTAAGAAATCATTTTCTTCTCTCTCTTTTCTTTAATTTCACATCATCTTTTCTACTTAGTTAGCATCCTATTAATGGACATAGAAACTATGTGATTTCTAGGTTGAGAGTGCCCTAAATAATTAAAGAGAGCAACCAAAACGACTACAAATGCATGTGTAGAAATACTAAATTTTCTAGCTCCAAGCTAGAGAAAAGAGTTGTGGACGACTCATCATGGAATGCATCCATAATATATAGAAGCATTGAATTCGGTAGTAGACCTATTGGGTGGTGCTACATACTTGTTATACTTCAGGTATTGCTGGGACAAATTTTGGACTACGATCAAACTGAACAAAGTCCAAGTCTTCAACCCATGCTTACGAAATTTGGATTATGATCATGCTTGTTTCCTATAGCATGTTGTGTTTATTTTGTTTTGGCATTCAACTACCACAAGATAACTATCGTCTTTTTAGTAGTTGGTCAAATTGGGTGGTTGCCAATATAATCATTTATTATTATTTGGTGTAGCAGCTTTTGTTGGGCTATTTGGATCTCAAAGAATGACATGGTGTTTGTAAAGGTCAAACAAAAAACTTTTTTTGCAGGTTCTTTTCATAGCGACATACTGGTTTTGATTTTAGACTCTATTACAGTGCTCAGATGAAGGTAAAGAATGGGTTCACAGGACATATAGTGATATAGGCTACTGGAATCAAGAGCCATGCAATTCTTAGTGTCCAAGGGACGATCTTTCAGTTATCATCATAGATTTTAGTTTCGAATTAAGTTTAATTTTTTGTGCATGTGCTTGTATTAAGTATAGTCTGGTACTTTTTTAAAAAAAAACCCGAATTTTTCCATTATCAAAAATCAATGTTTGGGCTCCACTGCCGCAACACATCATCCATCACCAATTACCGCCACCAGACCAACCTTCCTCCACAGCCAGGCTATAGGGACAGACGAGGTTACAGTAGTAACGTTCGCTCTGACGTTTATTCCAACCCTTTCTCCGCCAGGCCAACGCTTATTCAGTAGTTGCAGCAGCAGCTGCTTTTCTAGCACAGTCTACAGTTTTTTTGCAGCCATGCAAAACTGGAAAACTTAATGTTGCTGCAGCGAGCAGTATCACCCAAGGAGCGTTCGAGCTACAGTAACGTAACGTTCATCAGTAAGCTCACCAAAGGAGACATTTGGAATTGCAAGGGCGTCCTGAAGCACAGAAAGCTCATGCTTCCTATGTCTCAAAAAGAAAGTCGTCTAGGATTTTGTACAAGTCAAATTTTCTTAAGAAAGTCGCCTATGATTTTGTATAGGTCAAACTTTCTTAAGTTTGATTAGATTTATAAAAAATATTTACAATAATTGTGTCTTCCAATAAGTTATTATAGAAATATATTGACCAATTCATCTAATATTAGCAATAACTTATTATGCACCATAAATATTAATAGTCACTTGTATGTATTTAGTCAAAGTTGAGATTTTTTTTTACTTCTCGGAAAGTGTGAATGCCACTCTTTACGAAATAGGAGTACATAGAAACATTTGTCAAACGACGGTGTGAAAGTGGATATTCAGGTCAGGGCATAAGGCATCATAAATATGTGAGTAAAGGGCAGGCAGCGGTATGGTAAGGGACTTGAGACTAATCCATGAGTCTTGACAGAGTCTTCAAGGAGAATAACCTGTGGTGTTCCGCTACTGCTCGCTCTAATCCCAAACCACTATTATATAATATGTTTTTGCCAACACTATTTTCACTTCAGGTTGTATTAAAATCGAGGTGATATGTCATCACCGTTGATTTGTATCACTGTCGGTCCATAATGGAACCGGCGATGATAATGATTTTTACCGCTGGTTTGTGGCTTAATCCGGTCAAGTCCATCCCTAACCCTCCCTTGCCACTCCCTTAGCTGCCACATCTCTCTCTCTCTCTCTCCCTCTTTCTCCTCCCTTGCCTCGCCCCGCGCCCCTCCTCCATCGTCATCGTCGGCACTACCATCTCCTTCCCCTCTCCCCACTCACGCCCCTCCTCCAATCCCTCTGCGCCCCTCCTACTATCCTATCTTGGCAGCGGGTGATGGCACGATGCCGGTGCATCTTATTAAAGGGCGAGCTCAATGGGAGGGTGTGCTCAGTGACGGGTGATGGCGTGGCGGTGGCGGATCTGCTCGAGGACGAGCTCAGTAGGGACGGATCTGCACGAGGACGAGCTCGGAAGCGGCGGCGTAGACAGCAGGACGGTGCGAACGGCGACAGGCACGATTAAACCAGTGATGAAGAAAATCCTAATCACTGTCCACTTTTACCGTGATTGAGCAAAATCAGTTGTGACCGAGCTCTAGTTGGACGGTGATGAAGCTATTATAACAGTGAACTGGTATCCGGCTGATAGTGGAGCCGGGGTGATTCAACAAAGAGGGGCCACATAGTGAAGTGCAGATCCAATGTGAGGCGAAGCATTTCGAGTGGTAGAGAACGCATGACCATTGTCACAGTTGACCTGACCTGTCCCTGTCAGAGTCAGACATCACGGACGTGTGGCTCCATGCGCGCGCAGCAGCCGTGATGCTTCACAATACAATTTGCGATCATGATCACGTCAGAAGATGATGCCAGTGCAGCGCGGCTATAAATTTCCACGCACCCTTTCGCTTGTCCCGCACAGTCTTCTCCATCGTCTTCCACTTGCCAACCCTTGGCAGCTGCAGCAGCATCGCATGGCGTTCACTCGCCTCCTCCTTGTCCTCGTGGGCGCTGCATTTCCGCTGCTCTTATTATTCTCCCCCTTGCCTGCAGGTTAATAATAATTGATCATGCACGCCACACAAATTAAACACTTTGTTGTTCTACATCTAGCGCTAGCTAGTTATTGATGATATATATATATATATATATGCTGTGAATATATAATTGCAGTGGCGAGTGAATTGGGCGTGAGCTACGGGACGGTGGCGAACGACCTGCCGGACCCGTCGTCGGTGGTGAAGCTGCTCGGAGACAACGGCATCACCATGGTGAGGATATACGACGCCAACTCCAACGTGCTTAGTTCGCTGGCCAACACCGGCATCAAGGTGATGGTGATGGTGCCCAACGAGAACCTGGCGGACGCCGCCTCCAGCTCAGGCTACGCGCTCCAGTGGGTGAAGAGCAACGTGGCGGCATACTACCCCGCCACGAAGATACATGGCGTGGCCGTGGGCAACGAGGTGTTCAACACCAAGCCCGACCAGAATTTGAACCTCGTCCCGGCCATGACCAACATCCAGAAGGCGCTGGCGCAGCTGAACCTGGCCGACGCCATCAAGGTGACCACGCCCATCGCGTTCAACGCGGTGGCCGTGTCCTGGCCGCCGTCGTCGGGCGCGTTCAGCGACGACATCGCGGAGCCGGTGATGAAACCCATGCTCCAGTTTCTGCAGCAGACGGGCTCCTACCTCTCCGTCAATTACTACCCTTACCTGACTTACATGGCCCAGCCAAACACTTTCAACCTCGACTACGTCTTGGGGAACCCCAACAACCCCGGCGTGGTAGACCCCAACACCCAGCTCAAGTACAGCAGCCTCCTGGACGCCCAGCGCGACGCCACGTACTACGCGATGGACAAGCTGCTCCTGGACGCCCAGCGTGACGCCACGTACTACGCGATGGACAAGCAGGGGGCATCCAATTTGGACGTGTACCACACGGAGAACGGCGCGCCTTCAGGGGGCAACTCAATGGCGGCGGCGGTGGCGGCGGCCACAGGAGGCTTTACAGGCCGGAGGAGTGGCCACCATAGCTAACGCTCAAACCTACATCAATAACCTCATGAACCGCGTGCTGTCCGGAAACACCGGCACGCCGTACCGCCCAAACGCTGACATGAACGTGTACATCTTCGCCCTGTTCAACGAGGACCAAAAGGGCACCGGGGCAGATGACGTCGAGCAGCACTTCGGCCTCTTCTACCCCAACATGCAGAAGGTGTACGAGTTCAACTTCCGCGGCACCGTCACCCCACCACCGACTCCAACAACACAGCAGAGCTGGTGCGTGGCGAACGCGGCCGTCGGGGACGCGCGGCTGCAGGCGGCGCTGGACTACGCGTGCGGCCACGGCGCCGACTGCAGCGCCATCCAGTCCGGCGGGTCATGCTTCCAGCCGGACACCAAGGTCGCGCATGCCACGTATGCGTTCAACAGCTACTACCAGCTCAACGGCCGGACCCCAGCTCGTGTGATTTCAGCGGCGCGGCCTCCATCGTCTACCAGGCACCAGGTAGTGAAGTCGCTCCTAAATCTGCTTCGTCCTGCTTCCTGGTTGTCTCTCAAGACATCATGCATGCATGCATATGGGACCAAGCAAATTAGTTTAACTTGTTGGTCAGTCAGAAGATCAACTGCAGGAAAATACCCTTAGCTTAATTATAGATAGAGATTAGTTAAGCTCCAATCAGCTGCACAGAAGAACTAAGTGTGAGTACTATCCTTAACTGATGTCCCATGTTTTACCGCCGCGACGATCGACAGACATGTGCAACCCAAAGCCGAGCTGGTGCGTGGCGAACGCTGCCGTCGGGGACGCGCGGCTGCAGGCGGCGCTGGACTACGCATGCAGCAACGGCGCCGACTGTAGCGCCATCCAGCCCGGCGCGCGGTGCTACCAGCCGGACACCAAGGTCGCGCACGCGTCGTACGCATTCAACGACTACTACCAGCGCAAGAACCGGGCCAGTGGGACGTGTGACTTCTCTGGCGCCGCTTCCATCGTCTACCAGCAACCAGCCGGTAATAAGTGGAGTATATATATGTATAGGCAAGAGAGATGCGCGATACTTACAATCGATCGATTGATCACTGTGACAGGCACCTGCGACGCGACGGCGAGCTGGTGCGTGGCGAACGCGGCGGTCGGGGACGCGCGGCTTCAGAATGCCCTGGACTACGCCTGCGGCAACGGCGCCGACTGTAGCGCCATCCAGCCCGGCGGGCAGTGCTTCCAACCCGACACCAAGGCCTCGCACGCCTCGTACGCGTTCAACAGCTACTACCAGCACAAGGGACGGGCAAGCGGGACCTGCGACTTCTCTGGTGCCGGCTCTGTTGTATACCAGCAACCCAGTGAGTCAACTGGCTTTCTTACTTATCTATACTCGTCATGTTGTGCTGTTGCCCTGCCCCCAAGCTCTTGTCTGAGCCCTGACCCGTTGTTGTTCTGCTGCAGAGGTCGGAAACTGTGTGCTCCCATCGAGCGGTTAATCAACGGAAGAAGCAACAATAAAAAAAACTGAGGTCTGAAGACGACGATGCTAATAATATACCTAATTAATAAGTATACAGGGATATGAGGATAATTTTATTCTGTATTAAGACGAAGTATAGATAATAATAAAACCCGGCACCGGCAAATCGACCGAGCGCGGGTCCTCCTTACTCTTAAAACCCTCTGATAGAGCAGTACGACATCATGTCAACGTTGAACGTCACCGCTAATAATGATGCTGTACAACCGTTCATCGGCTGCTTTCTTATTATCCTGTGGATTGTACTCCGTCTATCGGTCTATGACGACGTTGACGAGTGATGACGCCGTACCCAAGGAGTCCAAATTACCCATGTTTGCTTATTTTACGAGCCGTATTATTTCAGCGAACAAATATTGTTTTCTCTCACAACAAATCATCGAACAATACTTTCAACCATGACTTTTCAACAAAGCGAACAGGACCATAGGGAAATGAGAATGAGATGATCCAATCATGAGCTCTTGTTTTTATACAAGTAGTATACAAGCCACAAGTTGCTCTTAGGATCTTGAACGATACTCCGAGTACAACAAGAGCACGTACAGGCCGGTACAGCACATATACACGTTCTGTTAACACTTACAACAGGAGCACGTGCAACACATATACACGCTCTGTCAACACCACCGCGTAGTCTATATACTTCCTCCGTTCCTCGCTATCCATGCCATCGATGATGCACACATAGGAACCAAAATGAGCTAAAACAACTCAATACACAGACCTGTCACGATATCAAATGCTATGCCTAAGACAACACAACCAACCGCAACATAGACAACCACATCAACGCCAAACCCCTATGTGGCCCATCATGAAGAGGTAAAGAGACATCTGCCACGAGGCCCTAGAAGGCACAGCCTTTTAATCCCATCAATGTTTTGCGGAGGTCTAGCAGTAACAATTCCTTTAGACACCCTACAACACCTTCCATCGTGTCATCAACTCATCATCGAGCTTTCCATTCTTCCCAATTAGGGATGTCAATGGGGGCCCTGATCCTCGATTCCCCACGGGAATTCCTCTAGCTATTAGAGGACAAAGACAGGGTCAATTCTTCCCCATGGGGATTTAAACAAGAAAAAAACATCCTGATAGGATTGGTGGGGACAAGGATGGTTCTCTATCCCCTGTCCCAATCCCTGCATCCTCGTTCTGTTTTCCGTGCATGTACCTATATATCACTAAAATTTATGTTGTAATTGTTGTACATTGTGTTTTTTTATATTTGTGCTAGAGCATTAATGATGGACGCTACTACAAAATAATTTTGTGAGACACTGCTCAAACATTAACGGAAGCGGTCACAAAATCCAACAGTCTCGTAAAATGCCTGAGGATTTTTGGAGGCGGATGTTTTCATTTACGGAGGCGGTCGCAATTAACTGTCTCGCAAAATGCATTTACGGGCGGACGTTTTATTTACAGAGACGGTCAGAAATTGCCCGCCTCCTAAAATTGATTTACGGGGGCGGGCCACTTAAGAGGCCCGTCTCAAAAAATAGAGATCATTTTCGGAGGCGGACCTCTTAAAAGTCCCTCCTCCGTAAATATTTCTAAGGCCTAGCCAAAGCCCACATCCAACTCTCTGCCGGGAACCGGGCTTATATAAACTGAGGAGTTAGGGTTCGTCCACACAGTCTCTCTCTCTCTCAACTCTCTCTCCCCCGGCTTGCGCCCCTCCTCCCCCACGCAGCGGGTCGACGCGCCTCCCCTCCAAAAATGGTTTCTCTTTAATAACCAAAAAAACTGTTTATTTAATTGTTCCACGAGACAAAACAACAGCTCCAAATATGTCGTCGTCCTCTCCTTCATTTTCGTGTGCCTTCGGTCAAGAGGCGATGATAGTGCACGTTGGGACAGGCCAAGCAAATGGAACAAACGTGTCGTTTCGCCCAACTGCTTAATTAACTTGACATGTGACTATTATAGTCACACATGCATTGTACGGCAGGGAAATTATATATTTCGCTTAATTAATTTATTTTCTAAGTCAAACTTCTTGACAAAACAATAACTCCAATACGTCGTCCTCTTCTTCATTTCCGTGTACCCTCGTTTAAGTGGCAATAATAAAAGCACGTTATTAGGACAAGCCAAGCAAATGAAACAAACGTTTCGTCTCCCTTGACTTCTCAACTTGACATATGACTATCCATGCGTCCTCTCTCTCTCTCCCGTTGCACGGCTAACGGCAGATCCGGATCCCAGGCGGTGGATCTCGTGTCGCCGGAGCCCAGCAGGCAGAGCTCGCGCGGAGGCAGTGGCTGTGCCGCTGCTACCGATGGCGGATGCGTTGGTGGTGCAGCCGGATCTGGTGGTGGAGGCCGCGGCCGGATGACGGCGCGACTGTGAATCCAGCGGCGGCCCGCGACCTCCTCCCCCGGCGGCGACCTGCACCACCAGATCTAGCGGGCGATGGCGGAGAGGGCGGATTCGGCGGTGACACCCGGCCTCCTCCCATGGCGGCGACCTCCACCACCAGATCCGGCTGCGTGCCCATGCAGGAACGATGGCGACGACGACGACGCGTCTGGGCCCAGTAGGCCCAGATCCAGTCGGGCTCAGTCGACAGGCTTTTCTTTTTTTTTATTTATTTATTTTCGCAAGCGGGCATTTGGCCACCTGCAAGACCTTTTGACGGAGGCGGACGTTTTGCCCACCTCCGAAAATCCAAAACGCCCACCTTAGGTAAGAATACTGTAGTAGTGGGACTATATGTGTACATTGTAGTTCATCAATTGTACACTTGTGCTAAAAATTATTGCTTACTTTTATGTTAAATTTGAATTTTGAGAGTTAAGCCAGCTTTTAATCTTTTTCACCTCAACTTTTGACCTACTCTGACCATTTTGCCCTTGTGTTCATCTGCATTTCTGACTTTCCGCCAGAAATCTACAAGGGTTGTTCATTTGAGGGCGCGCCTACTCTCAGTTGGTGTTGTGCTGTTTGGGCCTACCACCGTTGTTCGGGGCAGCTGGTGCCGGCGGCGCTCGGCGGGGGGTGGACGGGGGCGCCTGGAGCGTGAGCGGCGGCGGGGGCGGCTGGGAGGCTGCTCGTAGCGCTGCATGCCAGTTTGGGCGCTCGTAGAGTTCACAATTTAAGCAAAGTGATAATCTCGTAGAGTTTCAGCTGTATACCATGTACTCTTTATCCAACTTTGATCCTATCTAGGGTACAGTTCACTGAGTGTAATCTCATTCACAGAGATACCCTGTCCCAATATGAAACCAGACCGCTCGTATGTATAGCTGCTTCGAGCATCTGACCCTAAAGCTGAAGGTGATTCTCTACCAAAGAAGAATGCAGGCTGTGACGGCGGCTGGAGCCCCATGCTATCCCTGGTTAACATGAATACCACGACTGATATGTCAGGCCTGTCCTCAGGTTTCGACTGGACGCACAGCAGACCGATGTGGATGCATCGTAGCGCCTGGCTTTGAGCAACCTCATCCAGCGATGGGTGAAGCATTTGCAACATCGTCCCTTTGGACCAGTGATCCCAGACCTGTTAGATGACGGGAGTACCATTTTATAGTTTGTCAATTCAAATTAGGGAGTGCTTTCCACATTCAGACACGATGATATGAATGTTTTAGTATATATTTATATATTCAGCAAAAAAAAGATATGCAAACTCGGCACTTCACTTACATCACTAAGGAGATTGACAGTGCTGTGGTCATCAGAACTGCAGTTGCTTCTCCTGGTCACAATCTCAAGGACCAACACACCGAAGCTGAAGACATCAATCTTGGGCGACACCCTACCGTGCATTACATACTCTGGCGCCATATAGCCGCTGCAGAGGATGGGAAGTAGTTCAGTTTCAGTTAGCAAGGACTGGACACTCACATGGATTCAAGCGTGATGCCTGAGGCTGTATCAAGTTCATGAGCTTAGCTTACAATGTTCCGACAACTCTGGATGCCTGAGTAGGGATGAAAACGGATCGGATACGAACGGATATCACTCATATTATATTTGTTTTCATATTTCTGTTCGGATTCGGATTCGGACACGGATAGCGTTCGGATACATATACGAATACGGATTGACTCGGTTACGGATACGAATAATGAGTATCGAATACGGTATGAATCGGATTCGGAGAAGGTCGGATACAAATATCTATTCGGATATTGAGTAAAAGCAGCATATATATATATATATATATATATATATATATATATATATATATATATATATATATCATACGTGCGCAAACCATTACACCACTCTATGAGTCCATAATCCATCTAGATTAAGCCGAAAGACTAAAGAGTAAAGCAACAAATAAGATAAAGATACAGATACATCATACATCAAACATCATATAAGCACCAATCTTCGCGGCATGAGTAGAAATAGCCAAGCACATTGCTTCATGGGTCTCATGGAGTCATGGTCATGGATTCAAGATCTACAATCCTTATATAGGCCATTTTTTTCATTTGAGAAAGTTTGAACAAAATGTAGTTCAAATTTCACAAGTGTGTGACATAGTTTTAGAAAATCTGTATGAGATTTAAGAATTTATGACTAGTGTTTGATAAAACTTTCTCAAATGGGAAAATGAGCTATGTAACAATTGTATATCTTGCTAAGATGATCAAACTTGATATTCAGAGTTTTTTCATCTGAGGTCATTTAGTGTCTCATTTGAGCAAGTTTGACCAAGTCAAATTTGGTCAAATAAAAAAACAACACTTTGACTCTAGTATTATGAAATCTAAATGACTTCAAATTGAAAAGTTTTGAATACCAAGTTTGTTCAACTCATCAAGATCTACAATTTTTGTTTTGGTCAACTTTCCATTTGAGATAGTTTGGACGGTTCAAATTTGTGATTTTTAAATTTCGACGTTTACAAACTAGTTTTCGGAACCCTAGATTGTCTCAAATTGAAAAGTTTTGAATACCAAATTTGTTCATCTCATCAAGATATACAATCCTTATATAGGCCATTTTTTCATTTGAGAAAGTTTGAACAAAATATAGTTCAATTTTTATAAGTGTGTGACATAGTTTCAGAAAGTCTATATGAGATTCAAGAATTTATGACTAGTGTTTGATAAAACTTTCTCAAATGAGAAAATGAGCTATGTAACAATTGTAGATCTTGCTGAGATGATCAAACTTGGTATTCAGAGTTTTTTCATCTGAGGTCATTTAGTGTCTCATTTGAGCAAGTTTGACCAAGTCAAATTTGGTCAAATGAAAAAACAACACTTTGACTCTAGTATTATGAACTCTAAATGACTTCAAATTGAAAAGTTTTGAATACCAAATTTGTTCAACTCATCAAGATCTACAATTGTTGTTTTGGTCAACTTTCCATTTGAGATAGTTTGGATGGTTCAAATTTGTGATTTTTAAATTTTGAATAAATATCCGGATAATATCCGTTTTTAAATATCCGGATATATCCGATACTTATCCGGATTATCCGATATCCACCGGATATCGATGATATTACATCCGTATTTGATATCCGCCTAAGATATCCGTTTTAGTATCCGTATCCGAAAAAAAAACCGGATATCCGAGTAACTATCCAGATAAGTGTTCATATTTGTTCGGTCGAACGGACGGTCGAATAAATATCCGTACCGTTTTCATCCATATGCCTGAGTATGGGTGTGGCCTTCTCCAATAAGCCTTGCCAACCCAAAATCTGCGATTTTGGGCTCCATGTTGTCATCCAGAAGAATGTTATTTGCCTTCAGGTCCCGATGGATGATCCTCATGCTCGAGTCCTCATGGAGGTACAATATCCCCTTGGCAATTCCAATGATGATGTTGTACTGTTGCTCCCAGTTAAGTGCATTTCCGTTGCTATCATCTGTTGTGACCATATCAGCTAATATTGGTTGTTACTGAATACAGATAGAATATCTACAAATCGATATAAATTAATATCCTACTATTACTATTATAATGACCACTCACTTATCGAAAAAGTTCAGAAAAAAAAAAGTATAAACCGTTACTGCAGTAATACTCTGTAACTTAATTTGATGGAAATCGGATATCGATTTGCAGTAGTATGATATTGCAGTGTATACTTAGATTTTAACTTTATTTTTGATATATACTTTATATCAATTGGCAAATTATTATCATCGTATTCATCTATTACTACTAGTTGCTCAACAAAATTCATGCATAGAACATAAAAATTCCCTAGGATTCATGAAAAGCGACAGTGCAGTTTACATTTTCTAAACCAGAAAATTCTGGTTATGCGACTAAAGAGGTGAATGAAGAAGAAAATACCAAATAGAAAGTTGTCGAGGCTCCCATTCTTGATGTATTCATAAACCAGCAGTGTGTCACTCTGATGCAAGCAAAACCCATGTAACCTAACAAGGTTCTTGTGCTGAAGCTCTGCCAGTACCAGCACTTCATTGTGTAGTTGTTGCAACCCGTCCCCGGTTCTTCCTAAGAGTGTCTTGACTGCTATCTCTTGCCCATCAGAGAGGATCCCCTGAAACAAAATTATCTTTCAGAGAAGTGCGATATTACTACATTCTCTTTCCCTCATGTGTCCTCGCTCGCTTACTTACCTTGTATACAGTACCAAAGCCACCTTCTCCTAGCTTATTCTTCTCTGAGAAGTGTTCAGTCGCCTCTTGCAATGTTGGCAAATCAAAGATCGTGCATTGTGCTCTCCCTATCTTCTTCAGTGATGTTAGGGTGTCATATGGCAAGAATTTATTAAGGAAATAGTAAATTCAAGCTCATGGAAACACTGTAAACAGTGAATTCAAATACCACATTGTTACTCACGATGATTGTTCTCTGTCGAGTTAATTCTCCTCTGGAATCGAAGGAAACAAATAGCTGAAATAATCAACATTAACGCAATGGAACAGGCTACGCCTGCAGAGATTCCAGCTGCACTTCTTTTCCTCCCTGCATGTTCCAAACACAAGGTTCAGTAGTACAGTGCCTGTTCGGCTAGCTGAAAAAACGGCTGATGCTCATGCTGATTTGTTGTGAGAGAAAAACATCGTTATTTCGCTGGAACGGTATGATTGATAAGTTTAAGCGAACAGGGATGACTGAACTAGCAACATTTATGACGAGGTCAGGAGTCATGATTTGATGAATTCGGATACGTGAGAATTAACGTGATGACTCAAAGAAATGTTCAGGATAACAAGACTTGAGGGTCCTATTTGCTCCGGACATGAAGAAGGGGGCGTGAGAGTGGTCGATGGTGGTGGTACCGGCGGCGCGGCAAGCTGCAACATCGCCCGGCCGTCGTAGACCGGCGACACGCTGCATATCAGGGAGCACCACACCACGAAAGCGCTAATCGAGGGCGGCCGCCCGCTCAAATACTGCGTCGTCACTATTGTCGCGAGGTCCCTGAGGCAGTCCCGGCACTGCGCCAACCTGAGATCCCGGCACTACGCGGCCAACGGCACGTTCCACGTGAACCAGCGCGTGCCGCGGCGACATCATCAACGCCTCCGCTTGCGCCGCCTGCGTCGCGGAGGCATTCCGGGACGCGCAGCGGGTCTGCCCGCTGGACACGGGCGCCACCGTCTACCGCGACGCCTGCGTCCTCCACTTCGCCAGCTCCCGGTTCGTCGACTTTCTGAGACAGGACCAGTGGCTCGTCTCGGAATTGACGTAAGTATATATATGGACTACGAACCCCAAGCTTGCATTTTTGTAGGTACGTGTGCCTTACAGACTTACGAATTTGTTACTGCAACAAGTCCTGTGATCAACATGGTCCTGGGGAACGTCAACGCCCCGGATGGCATGGTTCAGCGCCGCCGTCACCGGGATCTTGAGCGCCTTGGTCGACCGCGCGGTGGTGGCGAGCAATTCGACGAGGAAGTACTTCGCCACGGCGGAGATGGACTTCGACCCCAAGATCTACGGGCTAGCGCAGTGCACGCCGGATCTGACACCAGGGCAGTGCCGGGGCTGCCTCGAGCGCCTTTTGGTAACGACGACGAACGAGTTCCTAATAAGCCGGCGGCCCCCGGTGAACAACGCCTTACTGGTGTGGTGCCAGCTTCGGTACAGCGTGTCGCTGGTCTACGAGGGCCAGGCGATGCTGCAGCTCCCCGCGCCACCAGAGCCACCAACTCAGGGCACGCTCGCGCCTCCTATGTCAGAGTCCGGAGCAGGTAGGAGTAGGGCACTCAAATTCATGTTGATCTGTGAAGACAAAACATTTCTTTCAATCATCACTTTTACTGTGCAGCTAAGTAGCAACCGCAGCAATTTTTGAATGTTATCAAAATCACCACCAATAAATCTACTCCTGAATTCTTCACAATTATATAAGCAAGTTCAATGTTGTACATGTTTGATGTATGCAGGGACAAAAAGGAGTAGAGCAGGAATTATTTCTGTTGCCGTCGCCTGTTCCATTCTGTTGGTGTTGATTCTTTCAGCTTTTTTCTTGGTTCGCCACAGGTGAAGGATTAAAGTACTTATAGGGCTATTACATATTCTATGACTGTCCCTAGGTATTTGCCTCGAACCACTTAGCCACAGGAGCAAAATGGTTCATAATGGATTCCATGCATCGGACGGCCACATGTCCTTCATGAAGTCGCTTCGTCTCAATGCAAGCTCCCCGATGACGCCACGTGCCGTCCCGTGATCCTGTCCAAGGTTTTGAGGCCCAAATCCAGCAAACCTGCCGCTCGCGGTTTTGAGGCCCAAACCGCCAAACCCACTTGGAGTCGCATAGACGCTATGCCTTCTTCATGATGTTGACGCATGTCCCACTCGTCCTCGACCGTCTGATCATCAAGTGCTTGCGCACTTGCCTTGACTTGGTCCGATCGTCGTGTAGACTTCGGTCAACACTGTCTCCATTACCATCTTTGCATGTACACTCGCTTGTTGACGTACCTATCCAAGTGCTTAGCCGTCCACGGTCCATTCTCCAGCCCATGGTCCCTCAGTCCAAGCCTTCGCGTCAGCCCTTCACCGCTCCCGGTCCATCGCGCACGGGCTCCTCCGTTGACCTTGTCCATTGCGGTTGACTGTATCAACGCTCAACACCTGCATATCACAAGCCAAGAGACATATTGCATACACATCTCACGCCATGGTTAGTCTCACACACACTTAACTAAAGCTCTGATCAACTCTTAACAATCACTCATCACTTATACACGGGCACGTATCAACTATGTGTTCGCACATTTTCTAGTAGGTGTATGCAAAATTTCAGGTTGAATCAAAGCTTACGCGGCTTATTAGTTCATATCTTACATTTTGGTAACAGGGTAACGGTACATATATGTTCCCAATTGTGGACTCCCATGGCCAGGCTAACCACTCAATGACACTGTCGACACGGCTGTGTTGGCGTTGTTGTTCCTGGCGAAGAATCCCGGCTTGGATGGAGCCTGGAGGGTGACCGTGTCGCTGCCGAGCATCATCACGACCGACGACATAACCGGCCGGGCCGCAGGGTCTGCCTGGACGCACAGCAGGCCGATGTGGACGCACCTCAGCACGTCGCCCTCCGGGAAACTGCCGCCCATGCTCGGTTCGACCAACTCCGCCACCGTCCCGGCCTCCCAGTGCATCCATACCTGCTCATGGATGGATTTGTTGCGTGATGAGCCAGCAAGCTGCAATGCAACTTACGGACCGGAGCTGTATTCTTCGGTGTAGATATTGTACTTACTGTGGTCAAGAGATTACAGCCGTCGTTATTGTTCTTCCGACCCGTTACGATTTCCAGCAGCATGACACCGAAGCTAAACGCGTCCGACTTCACGGAGTAGGTCCCCCGCATCATGTACTCGGGTGCCATGTACCCACTGAAATAAACGAGGAAATCAAAGCAAAAGCTCATGCAGTTATTCAGATGAATACTGAACTTGAAGCAGTTAATGGAGCTCTTGTGTTTTTCAGTACTGACTAGGTGCCGACGACGCGGCTGGTGACGGCCTGCGTCTGGTCTTGGCCAAAGATCCTGGCCAGGCCGAAGTCTGAGATCTTGGGGTTCATGTTCTCGTCGAGCAGGATGTTGCTGGCCTTGAGATCACGGTGCACCACTTTGAGCTGGGAGTCCTCGTGGAGGTACTGCAATCCCCGAGCGATGCCGTTTATGATCTTGTACCTCTGCCCCCAGCTAAGCTGCTGCTCACGTTTATCAGTACCGAAGAGTATCAGGTCGAGACTCCGGTTGGGGACGAACTCGTACACGAGCAGCCGTTCTTGCTGCTCCAGGCACACGCCGATGAGCCTGACGAGGTTCCTGTGCTTCAGCTTGGCGACCAACGCGAGCTCGTTCTTCAGCTCCTCCACTCCCTGCGTCGAGCTCTTCGACAGCCGTTTCACCGCTATCTCGTCGCCGTCCGGGAGGACACCCTAAACGTGTCGAAACTCGAAAGCAAACATACATTAGGTGCAATGTTTCATGTTCTTTTTTTCTTTTCAATTCAATTCAGAATCATATGGTACGTGTTTGTCAGTGCTACCTTGTACACAGCACCAAAGCCGCCTTCGCCGAGCTTGTTGCTCTCATCGAAATCCCCTGTGGCGGCCCGTAGGGTGGAGACGTCCATCATCATGGAGTCCACCATTTCGGTGTCCTCCGCTTCAGTGTAATACATGGGCTCTGTTCAAGTATGGATTGGATGAGTCATTTTTTTTCATATCCTTCGAAGCGTGTTTAACGCTGTGCAAACAGATAATGTTGAAGCAGCATACTTTGGTGTTTGGCCTGTCCAATTAGTAGCCGCCGCCGCCTCCGCAAACAGAGGCAGGCGACAAGGTTCAAGGCGGCTAGAGTTGGTAGCACAACTGCAAGAACCACCCAAGGCACACGGTGCTTTCGTCCCCCTGTGAACTAGCAAATGTGTTAGCAAACATCACGGCGGCAAATGTGTGTCACAGCTTAGATATCATCAGAAATGGCACTTTCTTGGAAGGAAATTTCAAGGGGAAATGTAGAATGGCATTTAGCTCCATTTGTTGGTTCATGGAAATAAATAAACCAAAACTCAGGTGTTCTATATATAATATAGGCGCTTCCAAAGCATGACTAGCTTTCCAAAGAACAAAAAAAATGCATTCGCTAGTTGCTACTCTCTCCGTTCCTTTTTTAAGTGTCATCTAGATTTTTGTGCAGGTCAAACTTTCTTAAATTTGACTAAATTTATAGAAAATATTAGTAACATTTGTATCTTCAAATAAGTGTATTATAAAAATATGTTCAATGATTAATCTATAGGATACGTATTACGCACCATAAATATCAGTTATCTCCTGTATATATTCAATCTTAAATACGTTTGATACCTCAATATGTGAGAACGACGCTTAAAAGGGGACGGATGGAGTATATGTATGGCGGCTTTTGTATCCTTGCACATACAAAAAATTTTAAGTAAAGACATGTGGGGAACCCGCCCCAAAAGTTTTTTTTAGTGTTCTAGACAGCGGGCTAAGGCACTTAGGGTGTGTTTAGTTCGCGAAATGAAATTTTTTGATATCACATCGGATGTTTTGGGGATGTCGGAAGGGGTTTTCGGATACTAATAAAAAAACTAATTACATAGCTCGTCGGGAAACTGCGAGACAAATTTATTAAGCCTAATTAATCCATCATTAGCGCATGTTAGTACTGTAGCACTTATGGCTAATCATGGACTAATTAGTCTTAAAACATTCGTCTCGTGATTTTTAACCAAACTGTGCAATTAGTTTTTTTCGTCTATATTTAATACTCCATGCATGTGCCGCAAGATTCGATGTGATAGTTTGGGGTGAAAATTTTTGGGAACTAAACCAGGCCTTAGCGATCTCCCTCCTCAAACAGCTACTCCCTCCGTTCCATTTTATCTGGTGCAAGTTAGAATGACATGGTCTTCTAGATTACACTTTGACCATTCATTTGCTTTATATTATATTATTTATACTTATAAACTTATAATCATTGGATAGTATAATTTTTGACAAATCTAATCATATAAAGTTTGTATTATAATAGTTAAAAATTATTAGCCTAATTATTGGTTAAATTTTTTAAAGTTTGAATCTTGATATGCGTGTGTGCCAGATAAATGGAACGGAGGTAGTAATAGCTTGCTAAATCGGGCTATGGCTGCTAATATCGGTTAAATTGTACATAGAAACAAATAGCTTGACCCCCTACAAACAGCTATATCCAGAGATAGCGGCAGCTATAGCGGGAGATTTAAAACCTGTGGTTTCTTGCTAATTTGTTGCCTCTATTCCAAATTATAGTCCACTCTTGCTTTCTCCTTAGTCAAATTTCTCAACATCTAGGCCCTTTCAAACGTAGGAATTTCATAAGAATCAGTTTATTTTCACAGAAAAAATGACACAAAATAGGAAAGATTTTTGCATTCAAAGGGGGCCCTAACGATGTCAAATTAGTTTCTTCAAACTATCAATGAAATATGTTTTGAAAGTGTATTTATTTAAACCTATAGATAGATATTAATGTACTCTTTTCTAAAACCTAGTCAAAGGAAATTTTTTAGACCTAAGACAAACTTAAAGTGAAGTATAATTTGGAAACAAGGGGAGTAGTACGTCTATGGTTCATCCTCTACTAACATTAATATCCTAGATAACATGGAGTCAACATTCAAATTGTTAATCATCCCAAACATCCCAAACCCCTTTTAGATTTTTCGCCAAAAGTAGTTGGACAATATTAATGCCTACTTTTCAAGCTACTCGACCATTAAACTCGAACGCGTGCACTTAAAAAGTTTACGTTACGGTCAAGCGGTCGCACAACAAGCACGAATAATATCTTAACTCAGTCAAAGTGTTTGGGCGTGTGTTATGTGTCAAACAAAAAGACCAAAGGATGGCTTTCATGACGCACTCACCTTCTCCGGCGGCCGTCGGCTGCAGAGCCGGCGCCGGCGCCGGCGCTCTAGAGCTTGTTGGTGGTGCCAGCCGCACCATCGCCCGTCCGTTGTAGAAGGGCGCGGTCTCGTACCGGTAGGTGCAATCAACCCCAAGCACCCTGCCTCCGATACTGCCATTGAACGCCTCCAGGGTAGCCTCTACCATCCTATCGAGGCACTTGTGGCACTGCGCCGGTGTCTGGTCCGGCGTGCACTGAGCCACGCTGTACACCTTGGGGATCGTCTCCTGGTTGAAGTCGGCCTCCCCGGTTGCGAACCGCCGGGAGCTGTTCGCGGCGTATTCGACGGTGGCGTTGATGAGGTCGGCCAGGAGGCTCTTGAACCGGGCCGCGTCCGCCGAGGTGACGTTTCCGTCGTTGGTTACGACGTAAGTGTTCATCATCGGGCCAGTGTCGTCGTTGGGTAGAGTGTGGACGTCGGAGTAGTGCACCATACAAGGGTCGTAGTAGATGCTAGCGCCCTTATCGTAGGGGCAATCGTTGGGTACCACTTGGAAGCCCCGGGTCAGGCACTCGAAGCATGTCGAGGCGTTGACGTCGCCGCGGCAGAGCCCCATGGCCCAGAGCTGCTCCGGGATGGTTCCGACGACGGCGGTGGCGAAGAGGTCGGGGGACGAGGAGGCGTTCTTGGGAAGGGTGGCCGTGACGAAGTCGAGATGATCCTGGTATGTGCTGTTAGCCGCGAAGTTGCTGCTTGAGCCGCACACATACCACGGGTAACCCGCAGCGCGGCGGGCTAGGAGTAGTGCCACCGCGAGGATGGTGGCTAGAGGTAGAGAGAGAACGTGATGAGCCATTGTTCGTGATAGAACGAAAAAGATTCGAGGCAGCTTATGTAGACGAGGGTAGATTAGTCATCGTCCGACACACCAATGCCGACCCATTCAAGGGTTTATTTGGCTGCACTCCGATCAACTCCAATACACCAACCTCTGGATTCGGGTGACTGAGCTGGATCAAAATGCAGCCAAACAAGCCTGACGGAAAGAAATTGGCTGGGTTTTTGTTAGACTGTAACTCCATGTTCAATATTTCATTTCGTGCCCCAACTGATCCAAAAGATGCTTGTGCTTAATTTCCTATCAAGACCCTAATATATATATATATATATATATATAATTCTTTCCATCCAAATCATAGTTTACACACAGACCTTGTCTAAAGTTAAACTTTTTCTAAATTCGACCAAATTTATGCACCGATATATTCAACCGTCAAATTAGTATCATTAAATTCTTCAGAAAATATGTTTTAGCAATGCATCTATTTATATTTATAGATTTTTTAGAAAATGAAAGGGACTTCCCGCTTCTGCATTACCGCACACAGCGTTTACATTATTTCATAGTTTCAGCAATATTGTTGCTGAGTCAGGAAACAAGAAATGCAAAAATTGTGCATGATAGAGTCTATTATTAGATTTCCATCCACGAGAAGCGAACAACTCCAACGTAGTGTTCTCTAATTTTCTTCTCGCTAACTAGAAAGAGATTATTTTCTATGAACTTGGTTAAAATTATTGACCGAGAAGGAAAAAGTGAACTATAAATTGTGTTTGTTAGGATTTTTTTAACCAGCTTCTGAAGAAGCCATCTTAATGTCTAGTGGAAAATTTTAGATCATGAACGTACATCCAGGCCTTTGTCAGGACCAGCTCCAGTGGGTGGTCGACCTGGTGCGACTGCCTAAGGCCCAGCCTAGCTACACCATATCTAGCCGAGAAGGATAGAAGCTTTGGGTGCTTAGGGTCCAAGTGGCCCTAGGCTCACACATCTGCCCCTGCTTCTGTGGTTGCACTTGCACCTATGGGGGTGGGGTGTGTCAATAGAGGGGTAATTTACCCTTCAATTACATAATAGTTTAACTAGACCATTAAAAACTGTAAAGTTTTTTAGATCAAAGGCCTAGCCTAGCTTTATTAGAAAGCTTAACATGAACCCGATCACAGTCCTGTTGGGGATACCAGCTTACAACGAAGCATAAAACAAACAAAAAGGCCACACCGACATTCAGGTGCCAGCATTCTACTACCACGATAAATCCCTCCGGCCCCATTGTCTTCGCCACTAGTTGCACCTTGCCACCCTACGCCATCGTGATTAGAAATTGCCAAACTCCTCATCTCATTTTGCTAATGTCTTGTGTGAGTGCCGATAGTAGATCCGCCAATGGTGATTCATGCTTGGTGTTGGAGTATAATTCGAATTCTAACGTGAGTCTTGCGGGATGCCTGGAGGACCTGCGGTCTGGGTTGTATTAGTGGATTTGTTTTTATATTGGACTGCAGTTCGTTCGCCCTATATATACATCTTGTGAGTCATGAGGGAAGAGTTGACGATTGTCTTCCTTGCAGTTTTTTTTGTAAACTCTCATCATATAGTGGAGATCACCGGCTGGTGCTCGTTTTTTTTTTGTAAACTCTCATCGTATAGTGTAGATCGTCGGTTGGCGCTCATGGTCTTTTCCTGTAAGTATTTTCCACGTTAAAAATCTGCGTATTCCTTGCATTATTAGCTAACACTTAAACGATGACAACTAATGCAACACAACATGCCAACAGCATCCAATGACCAATCCTTCTTGTCACTGAGTCCATGACTAGGCCCCTATATGCTCGTTCGTCTCTAGTCCTCTCCGTCTCCTCTGAGGCTTCAAGTGGTTTATTCGAAGTGTGATTGGATCTATGAATTATCAAAGTGATTATCTAGGTCTTTCAAACTTACCAGATGTTCAATCGGTAGTCATTTGGTAGGCGGTGTTCCATTGTATTTTGATGAAACCGTTTGTAAGACCATTTTTCTCTGGAAGTACAAGATCGAGACCGTTGCCTAATCCATACAGGAGTACATGGAACTAAAGTTACAGGACCATGGAGTGATATTCCTTTTTTCTTCCACAAGAGTTTGACTGTTTTGGGGGGAAATGTAGGAAGAAATCAATGCTTTGGAGTCAAGTCGTCGTTGGCTTGTCTGCAGCTGTGCATTAAAGGAGTTATTTTTCTCTGGAAGTACGAGATCGAGACCGTTGCCTAATCCATACACAGGAGTATAGGAGTATGGAACAAAAATTACAAGAGACAATGGAGTTATATTCCTTTTTTCTTCCACAAGAGTTGACTGTTTTGGGGAAAAATGCAGGAAGAAAACAAGGCTTTGGAGTCAAGTCGTCGTTGGCCTGTCTGCAACTTGTGCATTAAAGGAGTTGGTCTAACGACTTTTTACCGATCCGCGTGATCCCGTCCGGACCGTACGTGCAACTTGTGCGACGTCTCGTGGAAATAAGACTGTCACGGCGTGGAGTGCCCGATGAAGACACATACACAGACTGTCACGGCGTGGACCATGCCAAGCGATATGGACGGCGAAGTTTGGCAGGCAACACGGCATTTCCATCGAGCGAGAACCACTTGTTCATGCAAATTAAACATCAAGCGGAATGTCGTATATGGCAGGCAACACGACATTTCCATCGAGAGAGAACCACTTGTTCCCTGCAAATTAAACATCAAGCGAAATGTCGTACTCCACTAGGTCGATAAAAGAAATCGTTTTGGATAAGATTTAGATCAAATATTGGGAATATAAATCATGAATGACTTTTAAGTTGTTGAGTTTGAAAATATAAAAACCACATGAATACATTTGTCTTGAAAAATACTTTCATAAAAATATACATATATCATTTTTCAATAAATATTTTTATAAAAATAAGAAGTCAAAATTATACTTTAGAGACCGTGTTGCTGTCCAAAACGACTTATTTTACCAACTTAAAGGGAGTACAGACGAGAACTCCCTCCGTTCAAAAAAAAACTATAGCAATTATAGGAATTATACTAGTCAAACAAATTTAAGTTCGACCAAATTTATAGTAAATAATATAAATAATTATGTCTCTAATAAAATTTTCTATAACAATATATTTCATAATTAATTTAACAGTCATTTTTTTATCATAAATAATTTAGTATTTTTATATAACTTTAGTTAAAATTTAAATTGTTTGACTACTCGAAAAAAATTATAACGTGGGTACAATAGGACCCATACTCCACACTCACAAGCAAAAAAAAGAGATTACGTGGAGCACCACTGAACATACACTCGTGCGTGTATCCTACTTTTTCTATAAAAAATCCAAAAAAATAAGTGTGACTATGATGATTTGAACCCTTAAGGGTAGCATCTAACTAAACTGCCCCACCACTAGACCAAAACCCCCTTTAACATAAAGCAGAGTTTTTGACCAAACACTTTCCAGTTAGGCCAAAAATTTGCATGCAAGTGTCCTAACTGACACGTTCAAGTTAGGCCAACAACTGCCATTCGATCCACGTATGGATAATAGTAGGCATCACTGCTAATCCCTCTGTATGGTCGCTTGATGTAGATTCCTTTTTTCTTCAACATGACTAAGAGAAACGTAGGAACAAACATGGTTTTGGAGTAAAGTCGTCGTTGGCTTGTGCATGTGATGTCGAGCCAAAAAAAAAAGCTTTTGAAATTAGATTTTTTTTATCAATATGAATACTGTCGGTTCATGTAGATTCCTTTTTGGTCCACATGATTTAAATTTTTTGAGAAAACGTAGGAACAAACATGGTTTTGGAGTCGAGTCGTCGTTGGCTTGTGCGAGTGAGGTGTGAGGAAGGTGGCAACTCGCAACCATGAATGCTGAACACAAAATAGTACTATCTCCGTCTAGAGGGGGTGTCTAGTTCGATTTTTTTTAATTTCAAAATTTTTTTAAACTAATTTTAAATCTAACATTGTTTTTCTTCTTCAAAACTTACACTTTTGGCCGCGCCTATTGCCATGGCGCGGCGAAAAGCCTGTGCCGCGCCATGCATGGTGGCGCGGCGGGTGGCTGACATGGCGACGACAGGAAATGATGATCGGTGATGTGGCAGGGCCTGCCGCGCCACCGATCTTGGCGCGGCAGTGCCGCGCCTTGATCCGTGGCGCGGTAGAGCCGAATAAAAGCCCAGCGGCTAGTCCCGTCTGCCCGAGCAGCAAGCCCGCCTGCTCGCGCCTGGCCGCCGCGGCCGCCGCCCGCCCGGCCCTCGGTTGCCGCCTCCCTCCCTCCCTTCCCTTCCATTCCCCGGCCGCCTCCCTCCCTCCTCGTCCTCGTTCAAGGTAATGACGCACTTTTTATTTTCGTTTGATTGGTGGATAGGAATATTATGAATGGGAGTTAAGGTTAGGAGCAAAATTATGTTTAGGAACTATAGGCTACGGTTTGGAGAAAGATATTAGTTTGATTTTATCAATGTTAAGGTTAATTATTTAGTTAGAAGTATGTTTACCATGTATATTTTAGTTGCAATGCAAATAATTATATTTTACATTAATTTGCGTTGTTTTGATTGATGTTTAATTTGAACTGTTTTATTAGATAGAATACATGTTTCGGAAGTAGTTGTGGCGAAAACGGGGTCGTCCTAGAGAATTATACCCCGACGAGTCTAGCAAAGATGCCCCCGTCCCTCTTGAACTCTCTGTCCCTAACTGTGACTGTGGTCGTCCGGCCAACATGTTTCAATCGAGACATTCGGACACAGCGGCTCGTTGCTACTACACATGCAGTCGTTTTAATGTAAGTAATTGTTTTCGTATGTTTTTTTCTTCATTTGTATTACTAGGTCACTAATATTTTGTTGAAATTTTGTTGTGTAGGCCCATGAAAAGGTGCCTTTTCTTTCAGTGGATTGACGGTGCAGACAAGTTTGACCCCAGGTACCTTCTTTTCGACGATTGGTGGAGAGGGCGACATCCACGAGAACACTTCGAGCAGTGGG